TTGGTCGAGGCAATCCCAAGCACAAATACCAGCTGAGCAGAGACTGGCTTGAGCAAAGCCCTGAGGAGAAGGATTTGGAGGTGTCGGTACATGAAAAACTGAACATGAGGTGGCAGTGTGCGATTGCAGCCCAGAAGGCCAACCGGATCCTGGGCTGCATCAAGAGGAGCATGACCAGCAGGTTAAGGGAGGTGATTCTGGCCCTGTAATCTGATCTCGTGAGACTCCACCTGGAGTACTGCATCCAGCTGCGGGCCCCCCAATGCAAAAAGGATGTCAAGCTGTTGGACAGCTCCAGAGGAGGGCCACGAAGATGATCAGACTGCTGGAACACCTCCCCTGTGAGGACAGGCTGAGAGAGTCGACTTTTTAAAAGGGCATGCAGTGACAGGACAAGGGGTGGATGGACAATGGACTTAAATTGGAAGAGAGCAGATTTAAAATAGATATTAGAAAGAAATTTTTTATTGTGAAGGTGGTGAGACACTGGAACAGGTTGCCCAGGGAAGTTGTGGATGCCCCATCCCTGGAGGTGTTCAAGGCCAAGCTGGATGGGGCTCAAAGGAGCCCCTCGGGGGTCTGAAAGGAGCAGCCTGGTCTAGTGGGGGGTGTCCCTGCCCATGGCAGGAAGACTGGCACTAGATGATCTCTAAGGTCCTTTCCAGCCATTCTATGATTGATGATTCTATTCTACGTGCCAATTTGGGTCTCAATTCTAAACCTAAGGTCAAAACCCAGAGCAGTAATTGGGGCTGTGTTCCCTCCCAGCTTCTCCTGCACCTGCAGACACTGGCACAGCAGAGAAGCTGAAAAGTCCTTGACTGTCCTGGCAGCCATCCGTATGTTATCAGCCTTCTTCTCAGCACAAATCCAAAACACAGCCGCTTACTAGGTACTATGAAGAAAGTTAACTCTGCCCAGCCAAAATGAGGACAATGCATTTGTCTCTTAAAACAGTTGAAAGAGAACTTTCAAAACAACTGCTATAAAGATTAATCAGGATGCTAATCTTTGTAGCACTTGATAAAATCAAATCATACAGTTGGTTTGTTTTTAAAGTACAGGTCTAGGGTACTCAAAGAAACTGCTGATTTATAGTCATCAGCCTACTTTTAACTCTTCTTTCTTCAAGGACCTCCATAGGTCACACAATAGAAGAGCTCAAGATTGAGTGTTCAGAGCTTTTTGAGGGGCAAGGGGTGGCACTGTCTGCTTTCATACACAATACCATTTCGTAAATAATTAGTTTGAGCATTTTTTGGTTTTAATGTTTATGATTGAGCAAATGAGCAAGTTAATCTAGAAAACTACAAATTCCTTTAACAGCTATAGGAAAGGTGAGTTGAGAGAAAAGCCAAAAATGTAGTTTAAAATTGTGAAATCTAACCGCTTTATTTCTGAGAGCAACAGTGGCAGTTTTCCAAGTGACAGCTGAAGTGAGTGCCTGCATTTCCCAGCACAGGCAGCACCTGGGCAGGCTGGGAGCCGCTCCTCCCACACAGCCATCTCTCGGCTGCCATCTCCTGGGTAGGCTCCTTGTAACACAGTCACCTCCCCACCATTTATTTCGTGACAATCCACCAGTTACTGTTTTCATAGTATGCATCAGGCTGAGCTTCTCTTGAGCAGAACAGAAGATCAAAATCAGGAAAGGAAACTCTTAAAATTAACCAATGCTGTTATATAGATGTTCTGCCAAACAAAGGGATCAGCATATTCAAATGCTGCCAGCCAAGACCAAGAGATTTTTCGTAAGGACAAATTCTTGCCCTTTCACAAACACCCCTCATCTGGCAGACCTCTACAGGATTCACATGATGACCCTCTGGTCTGCAGCAGCTGTTCCCAAGAACATCTGTCTCATCCCTGGAGCCACCACCTCTGCAGCACACCGTAACACAGCTGGAAGAGCCATGGTGGGGTGGGATTATCCTCCTCTGTAGCCCAGGCAGAGAAACAGCTGGATTCATGCCAGGACTGCATTGTACACTGACCTGCTGCTGCCTCTCATCCCACTTGCGGACCTTACCGGAACGCAAGGTACCCCTCACCCAGCAGTCCAGTCCTGCATGTGTGGAAACCAGCACATGTGCGGCCAGGTCCTTCCCTGACATGTAGTCAGACACAGCTGGGATTCATCCGCTGGACTGGAAATTTGGAAGCACTTCTGGGTTGCTCCAGACATGGCCTTAGGCAGCTATCTTAGAAGAGACTAATTTGCCCTCTTATGATAATATCTGCCTAGCAGAGACGGTAGCCCTACAGAGGGAGCTGGAACACCGAGCCTGAAGGATGGACTTAAGCTTCAATGCGACACATTTTACCTCTAATTATGCACATCATCCTCCTAGGGGCATTTCCATTTCGCTTTTAGATGCCAGCTGAAGAACCCAAAGTTACACAAGACTGATATATCATTGTTCCAGAACAAAGCAGTACTTGCTTCATGCACAGCTAGGGACACAAAATGACATTTCATTGTTTTGACCGTGGCAGCGTACACACATTGTAATACTCAGCTGTGACTCAGTACATCTTCTCTTCCATTCATTGTTCCTGATCACTGTGGGGAAGTACACAATTATTCTTTCTCTTCTTTTTTGCACCCTCCTTCCCAGCTGCATTGCTGATGAGGAAGGTGCACTTAAGGTCACCCTGGAGAAATCCTTCAGGAGGCTGCAGCACTAGAGAAGCCCTAGTGCACCACAGGAATTGCCCCTGATCATAGGGCCCCACATACAATTCAACTGTTCTAAATGCCACTGTTTTTCTGCATTAGAGCAGAGCACCAGTATGCAAGCATTGCATGGGTTTTAATTCATTCATAAGCCATCCACTATTTTTGTGAAATTAATACACCAATTAGTTGCATGGTAACAGCAAACATGAATGTGGAAAAATGAACACCAAAAGCAGGAAAGTTTGTGTAGTTCTTTATTTTCTAAAAACAAAACCAATTATTTGACAGAGGAAGTGATCTGTTCTCAGGATTCTGTACAATTCCCAGTAAAAATTACATTCAAATAGCAGAGGGCTTCTCTCCAGCCTCCAAAACAAAGGAAAAGTCAACCTTGAACTTGCTCAGCTTTGCCTAGATAATAGAGCCCACATGGCTTGGAGGCTGTGTACGTGTGAGCACACAAGGAGCAGCTGCTGTCCTGCAGAGGAAGACTCGCTTACTTTCATTGAGGAAAGTGCATCAGTAAGTTAACAAGCACAGTTTAACTATGCTTCTGCCTGAAGCTGTAAGTTTCATTGGGGTTTACTTAATCCAGATACAGTAGCCATCACTAAGTATTAAAACTGATTGAGAACACTGGGGGAAAAAATATCATCACTTATTTTTTTCTTTTTATTTTCTGCAGCTAGCAGCTGTTCATAGATTTTTACTGCAGACACTATGAAATGGATTATACAGCTGAGGCTTAAGTGTTGTGTGATGTAATGATATATAAACTTGAGCAAATCATTTGACTTGTCTTTACCTCACTTCCCTCCCTTTGTATTTATTTTGTCTACATTGATAATGATGACCAGACAACACTGCCTCTCAGCATTAGTAAAAATGCCACACACAATGGGACTTTGAACTCTTAGCATATAAACACTATCACAGCATAGTACAATAATATAAATAAAATTATCTTACTCAGATGAGCAGCCCAATGATTCTAGTGGAAGCACATACATACTATGTAAGTCTCTTTTAACTAGGTTTCAAAACAGTAACAAAAGAAAATCTGTATTAAAATCAAATATGAATATAAATGTATATATAAACTGCAAAAAGTTCAATAGACTCACTTTCCTTTGAAAACCTAATCCATTTTGATGACTTTGAACCCTACATGTCTAAAGGGTTACTAAAACTAATTAAACTTATAGCTGGCTTTTTTTTTTTTTTTTTCCTGCAGCACCATACCATTACACAGCCAAAAAACCTCCTTCAAAATTAATCATGTCTAGACATCATTAAGTAGTTGCAGGTTTGCGTGTTACTGCTAATGCAAGTTTGTTGCTGGTAGAGTATTAGACCTAACTTTGAATCAAGGTCTGTCCATATTTTTTTAATGTAATGGACTTGTAATATCAGCTGCACAGTAAAAATGTTTCTGTGAGACAAGAGCTACTGGAACATACCACTACTAAAATGTTAATAACTCTGGGGTATAGTTTATATTTTATTCTCTATCTGTACCAAAATGTTTAATCTACTTCAAGTAGCTTTCATGTTACAAGAATGTCAAAATAGCATATAGCTTGCAAACTGATTCTACAGTCATATAAAATTAAACTACTCTGAACTTTTTTAAGATTTAAAAAAATCCAATTGTCCTGTTGTGACCTCCCAGACACACAGTGAACACAGACTACCAATGTGAAGGCATTAAAGCTGTGTCTATCACACAGGACTGAACACCTTGCAACCAAGAATTTTAGGGAAGATTGTTTTAAAAACTGACTCCATGTTAAAATGCACAGTGTGACGATTTCAGAGGAGAGTCAAGAACACTTAAAAACCCTAATTATTACTGATTCATTTCCTTCAGTCCGAATTATATTACTCAGATTGAAATGTCTATTACAACTGCTTAAAACCATGTAGATTCTCTGTAAAAACAACTCAAAGCTAAACCCATATGTTCACTAGGAGGAGTAACACTTTATTTTTAAAAGAGTACAGTTATTTTTCTGAATTTGCCCAAAAGCATTCCTTGTTTTCTTTCCACGAATATTCATCCTCATAAATCTCCTGCAAACACAAACAAAGAATGGGAAATATTGTGGGAGTCTGCTACATACAGCCACAAGCCAGGCCAAACAACTCAACAGCCATCCTGCTATTATTTACTGATTACAACAGGACTTTACAGCCCTTAGCTGGCCAACAGAAAAGCAGGCAGCACCCTTAGACCATACTGACTTACATGTGCGCAGATGCTGGACCTCAGGCTGAGCCTCATCAAATTTAGAAGGGCCCACCTATGCTGAAGTCAATTTCAAGAAAGAGAACTAGAAGAAATTACATAAAAGCTGTACTGTACACGGCAACTCGTGTCTGAAACACCTTTTTACATGTTGCCATACTAACCTACTGTACTATCATTTCTAGGAGAGTATTTAAGTATATACAAAATGTCATTATTAAAAAGAATAATTTCAACAATACACAAAATACAGTAACTACCAGATCTTCAGGACAGACTGGACTACCCCACAGCAGTCCAGTCCTAAACAGCAAATTCAGCCAGGCTCTAAGCCCCTGATGATTTTTTGAGACCACAAAACTCATCTCCTGAAAGAGGTTTCAGAAAAGTGGAGTAATGTGGAGAACATCACTGTTATCACATGCCAAGTTCTGCCTGGCAGAGAAGGCAGAGATAATGCCCACTACTTGCATGCAACACTATGCAGTAAGACTCTTTCTAGATGTGGACTGGTCTCTCCACACAGTGCTGTGTGCCCATACTAGCTTTGGGACCTCTGCTCATCCCTTCATTCTGTGCTGTTGCTTAATGCTTTGTGCTTTCTCAAAGCCAAAGGGATAAGGGGAAAGCAGAAAGACAAGAAATGCCACTTTTACTTGCGAACTGCAATGCCGTCCAAAGCAAAGCTGACTTGAAATCAGCCTGTGCAGAACCGAGTTTTGTCACTCAGGAGGAGAGCTCCTTCACTTTAACCCCAGGATGGTGTTAAAAGGAAGAGGAGCTGGGTGGTACAGGCAAGGGAGGGCCTTCCTGGTGCCCCACGTGTGACAGATGGGCCTGGCTGCATTAGAGGAAACTTGCTAGTGCTAGACATTAGCATCCTGTCAGGAGCAACTGAGGCCCATAATGCTTCAGCTCCTTTCATTAAGAGCAGCATCAGCAGCCTTTAGGCAAGCTGTCCAAGACTCTGGCACAGGCCTAAAATAAAATTCCTCCCCAAACATACCTTTTTCCATATTGGGACAGTTGCTTTTAAGGTATTGATGCAGTACGTTACAGCTTCAAGGGATTCTGCTCTGTGTGGAGAAGAGACTGCAATAATTACACTTGCTTCAGTTATTGGAACCACTCTAGGGAGAGAAAAGGAACAACAGTGGCTTTAGCTAATGCTTAACATCAAGAGCACCCAAAAGTTGTGGCCATGTCACGTCAGTATTCTGGCCACACGCTCTCCTGACTCATTCACACTGAGCAAGTGTCAAGCCATGTCCAGAAGATTATACACTTTTTAAAAGAAAGAAAACCACAACCAAAATCAGTACCAGATGTGAGAATTCCATGCTTTAGAATAAATAAACCCTCCACACATAGGCTTTTTTCTTCCATTCTTTTTTTTTTTTTTTTAAATCTATGGAATTAAGAGGGGAAAATTGCTAACTTGCAGCAATGCATAGGAAACTCACTGGTAGCTGGCTTCATGATGAACAAGTTAGGAATAGCCAGTTCTTATCTGAAAACCTAAGAAATCATCTCAGCACAAAAATTTGTGAAAGAAGAAATTAAGTGCCTCAAACTATGCAGATATTGCAATGAAACCTAATTTTTGACAAATTCTGATTCAAATCAGAATTTGTGTGTTCTTTTCCAAACTTAACAGAAGTAGCACAAGGTTTTGTTTTGCCCCTCACAAGGGTAGTATTCCCAAAAGCTGCCTCCCACCCCTCCCTCTAGTAAGACTCCTCTGGAAACCAGTTCCTAGGAAAAATCTAAGCTTAAATGCTTTGAGCTGCCCTCAAAAGAATCACTCTCTCTGTTGACTATAGAGGAAACCTAAGGAAACTACACCTCAGAGCTAATATTACCCTTTGTGATCACCTCGTAAGTTCCTTGTGCTGAGAGAAATGGAAAAAACCATTTGCAACACACTCTGGAAATCCCGCCAGTTTCAGTGAGATATCTCATGAACAGTGAAGGCTCAACAGTATGTCACACACTAGTATTCCATGTTTCGAATGCAACAGAAAATGCTTATCCAAGACTCAAGGAACAGCAGGAGGTTCCTCCACAAGCATTGCTGGCAATTACCATGCCTCTCCCCTCCCCATAGTCTAAGGTTTTAGGTTCCCTATGGCATAATTTGACTTAAATCTAACAATAAGAACATTCTGCAACACCTCGATGAAAGAGAGGAGAAAAAAGAAAGTGGTGCTGACTTCACATCTTTAAAAAGACAAAACAAACCAACAGCCTCCCTTTCCATGGAATGAAATCTCAATCCCTTCTCCCCAGCTTCAAACCATCACACCAGCAGCAAGGATCCTGCAGGCTAAACACGGACTCCAGCAAACACTACCAATATACACATTTTGAAAAAAGATGATTTCTGAGATTTTGCTCTGTGGCAAGACCTTGATCCTGCAGTCAGCTTTGCTGTACTACAGTTTATAAAGGCTCCTGCACACCCCACAAGTGTGTAAGCACAGACACGCACCAGACAAGAATTAATATTCCAGTTGCAGAAGAATGAGTTCAGGCCATACATACCCAAGTCTGTGATGCACTGCAATATGTCTGACTGATGGCCATTTCTGTCTAACATCTCTGCAGATTTTCTTTATTTCAGTCTCTGCCATTGAAGTATATGCTTCATATTCTAAGCGAATCACTCTTTTTCCTTCAAAATTGTTTCTTGTGGTACCTAAACACAAATGATTTATCAACCAAAAGCACAAAGTAAATAAACATATATTACACATTTGTAATAGATATTATATACAAATACTGAGTAAAACCCAGGATCTCGTGCTATGATCAAGGTAAGCACCATGCAAATATAAATGACCTCCCCAAACCATGACTGTGTAAAGGTTCTTTGAACAAGAGAAATCTTTTAATATACAGAATAATTTAGTTTTCACATTATATGAGTCTGAAGTCTGTAATGCCCAAGGCTGGGACACTTCTGTGGCAATTACTATTGCATTTGCCCATGCAATGTTTAAATGCTCAGTTTTTAGGAGCCCAGCAGCATTAAGGTTTAAGCACAAAGGGGTTTCAAGATCTGCGCCATGGACATTAAGCAATGGGACAGAGCTACCAGCCTTGGTCTTTACCAGCCCATGGGTAACACAGTACTTTACTTTCAACCAAGATGTGAGTTGCAGGAGCTTTCAATACAGGTGTGGAGCTGTGGTTTGCGCAGCCACAACCACCCACTTCCCACCTTGAACAAACTGTGTCCAAGGGGATGGGAGACTAGGTCTCAAGCAGTCCTGTCCTCCAGAGCTGCTGTTCTGTTTAGCCTTAGGATAGCCACACCAGCAGGGAAGCTGCTCACCACTTTGTCCCAGTGCAACTGTTTAGGAGTTGCCATGGTCTTGTTCTAAATAATTCAGAATCTGCTTTCTAAACACCCTGGGTTCAGTCCAGTAATTTATTTACTTGAGAAGCACGAGTTTGGGGTGTGGACAATCTAGGACAATCTAGGTTCCATTTATTAGATTATTAACACATCCAGAGATCCAGCTCAGAAATATTGAACTCACCAATAAACAAAGACACTCCCCCACAGTATGGTGAAATGACCAGCTCTGACACTTCATCCACAGAGAGCTTTTCAGACTTGAGCTTGATAAAATCTTTTGGCACATCTACACTTTCATCCATAGCTCACTAGAAAAGCTGAAACCAAACAGACACTGTTGCTGTTTTTGGCAAAACTAGCATTTGACAACTGCTTTTTATCCAGTGATGATGCTCCAGTTTACACAGAAAACATGCACCATCTACTTACTCACCCCAAGAGACCAGTCTCCATGGAAAATTCACTTCTCAGCAGAGTTGCTGAGAGAATATTAACTGCAAATATCAAGCAATGACCTGGTTTTTAATGCATGCTGGTTTCTTCCTGGTAGGAAAGTCTGGTCCAGAGGGATGAAACTAGAACTAGTCTGAGACCCCAGTTTAGCAGTACAATCAACCAGCACGGACCACTGTGATAGCAAGTCTGTGGTAAGACTGTCAGCTACCCCTCCCTATCCTGAAATAAAAAAAAAAAAACCAACCCAGAGACTTCTGATAAACAGAGATCAGAGTTCTAATCCTGAAGTCTAATATGATCTCCAGGACATTCAAGTCCTCATACTATCGGTCTGTTTCAGTGACACAGGAGATACTTCTAATTTCTGTGAGCAGAAACCAGTCATCAGTTCATCTAAGGATGAGGAAAGGAAGTATTTTGAGCAGCAGCAGTGGAACAAGCTGCAGTAAATACATGGACAGGCACTCGAAAGCATGCAAAGAAATGCAGCTATTCCAAGGTCACCTTAGGTTTTTTTTAAACAGCAATTTTTTTTTTCTGTATTATCTTTTCTGTTAAAAAGTGGCAGGAGGTTTTTCTTTATTACCTTATTTAGGCAAGATGGGTATCTACTGGCAGGCAGAAACAACTACAAAAGAATAACAAGACCTAAAACCGAAATTCAAAACAATGCCTGACCTCTCTGACAATTTTCTTCCATTTACTGCATATGTGTTAATCATTTATTGGTGCACCAGCTTATAGTTTCTGGTCAGCACAATGGTTCTTTCCAGCAGGAAACACAAGTTATGCTCTCTCAAAAAAGTACCAGTGTGGAGGGAGAAAACTGCAATCACATATCCGGACCTAAACAAAAAAAAAAAATTATTATAGGAACATTATACAGAATCAATGAGATATTTTAGCACAGGATGACTCTCTATAGGAAACTAACCAAGAAGTAATACCTACCTAACAGAATCTGGGCAGATTCAGCCTCCACTAATTGGCGGGATGATGGCAACCTCGTCTCCAGGCTGCAAGACCAGAAGCTGATTTCCAAGAAGCACGTACTCCTGCCGAACAGCAAAAACCACTTGATCCCGGATGACAGCAAGCCTGAGGGGGATTGGCAGGAGCACAAATAGGTTTCTAAATAGTGTGTTTGCATATAACCATGAGATTTCATTAAACAACAAAACAGTGTACAGTCTAGGGCAGCTGAGGTAAATACCATTGAGACTTATGCAACTCTGCTTCTGATACACTTCTGAAGGTACAACAAACATCCACCTCCTACTCTTACATTTTCTTCTGGTGGCTAAGGAGAAAGCAACTCAGTATACTTTTCAGAAGTCGGGAACTGGATTTGTCACAGGCCTGCATCAGAATGAACCAGTGTTTACCAGACCCACTTTAGCCGATTATAACAAAGTAGTTAACTCAAGAGGGTAGCAACCATCCAATTTGGGATTAGAAGGAAATATTCCCAATTCAGTCTGGCTGGACTGGAGCAATTTTCTTACATGGCAAGAAGCACGGTGGGATGCTGTTTGTGAGATCTCATGAAGATTTCAGCCACCAAAGAGCTACCCTTGTTGTGTAACCTCACAGTTTATAAGGCTTTGGGTCTTTTGTGCATACAGGTCTGAAATGTGAAGGAGTGGCAACACAACTAAGACGGCAGATATAGTGCGTTTTCTGGCAGATCTCTGTATTTTTTGATTTCACATCTGTGAGATGTTGCTGTGAGAGTCCACAGCTCTGGATATCATAAGGCAGGGAGTTGCTTTCATGACTAAGTACAACCACACAGCGAGTATGAGGGCAACACCAGTAACACACCAGAAAAAAAATGCCAACATTTTATTTTAGAAGGTGCAAGCATAATTATTATTGTTTGAGATGACAAAATCTGCCAGAGACAGTAGAGAGCTGTATTGCCTAGAAACAAGTAGGCACACCAAAAGGCTACAAGAAAAAAATCATCTTATTTCCTATGAGCCAGATATACAAAAGCAGGCAAGGCACAGGCTGAGCAAAACACAGTAGCACTGACTCAAAGGGCAGACTGAAGGGAGGGACTGCATGAAAGTAAAGCAAGCCACAGAGGAACTGAGTCCAACTATGGAACTGAAGCACCCATTAGAAGGATGGGCTCTAATTAATGTCACTTGCAAGTAAACTCATCAGAGAAAATGGGTGGAACAGAAGAGCATTGTCAAGTACACCCAAGCTGCAGTCTGAATATCCATTAGCAACATGAATAGAAGTCTGTGGTCAATGCCCTACAATTATGTTGAGTTTTTCCAGAAAGCTAGGAGCAGAAGCATTTTCCAAGAAGGCTGCTGTGAAGTAACTGCACATGCAAAATGTACTGCCCCAAGTCATCATCCATAAAAGGACAAATGATGGCAAATGGACCAAAGGTGCTGTTCCCACTTCTGACACCATATAATGGGCTGCAAAGTAAAATACACTAATTTTCTACTGTCTCCGCCCCCAAAACATACTTTGTCTCAGTTCTCTGTGAGGAAAAGGCCTCTGGTCTAACATTTGGTTAGAGATGCTCATTTGGAAACAGATGTCATTGCTAAACAGTTGATTTTTTTTCATAGCCTTTGAGACTAGATCTAATAAGGAAGGGGTGCCCCATAAAGGAAGACTTTGGCATCTAAGTCCAAAATTATGGAAATTACAGTGCATTCAGCACTAAATTCTGAGGACCTCAACCTCTGTTAGACCTTTTTTTTTTCACTCCTCACCCCAAAACGGTGTTGCACCTTTCTCTATCAGACTCATTCTTCACAGGCCTAAGCACCTTCCCTCAGCCTTAACCTGAGGGGGAATTTCTGCTGACACCCCCCAAGAGCACCAGTGCCACAGGAGTCCTTTACAGTGGCACACCTAGTGCTCTCTTAGGACCGGGCTCCCTAAGAAATGCGACCAACAGTGGTTTGGGTGTTTTTCAGAGCAGAGGATGTTGAAAGTGGCTGAGCTTATTTCCTACGTAAGGATTGAGTGGCTGGAAGCCTGTGGCAGGGCTTCAGTTCCCTTCCTGACCTGCCTTCCAAAGCGTGCCATAAGCTCAGACCCACGGCTAACAGTACAGTTAATGGTAAGTGACTGAAAACACCTACACATAATCATTAATTTCCTACTTATTGCCCTGGCTGTGCTTGGTCCCTCCCTGAGACATCTCACCTTCTCCACAGGTAAAGAGTACAGCTCACGTGTCTTCACATGCCGTGGGGTTACTGCACCGTGTCCCTCCTGGACAACAGGTCACTTCTGGGTACATCTATTGAACCTTGCCTTTCCTTGCGTATGCGTAAAGCTGCAGCATTTGCAACTGGCAAAAACGGTTGCTGCAGGTTACAAGAATAAGGCAATGTCACTGCTTCTACGGTATCAAAGTGCCAACACGGGTTCCAGCTCAACCCAAAAAACTCCCGACCACGCTGAAGGCGTGCGCCCCAGCGGCCGCCTCCCCGAATACCTGGGGTGAACTTTGACGATCTCCTCCCAGAGCTGCAGCGCGGTGATCTGCCGCGGCACCGAGAGGGTCTCGCAGCGCAGCCCCGCCAGCTCCGCGCTCCGGGCGAAGTACAGCACCGACACCTGCCCGGGA